GTATTGATAGAATTACTTTGGGGTGAAGTGAACAAACTCAGTCAAAATGATCACACTGAGTGTCCAGATTACGATCTCTAAATACTTCTTTCCCAGTCAACGTAAGCAGGACTCTTTGGAGAAAGAACTTTCAGATTAGAGACAGAAAGCATATAAAATGGACTTGACCGACCTCTACAAATCAGAAAATAAAGAAGCTTTGAAAGCTACTGGGGTCTTGTTTAAAGTACAGAGGACCCAATGGAAGACGATCACAACGGCCAAAGAATGAAGGTATTTGCTGCATTGACAAGAATAAAAACTCTGAAGGATGGGGACACATCAAAACAGAGTTAGGACACAGCTTCCTCTAGTTTCCTAAATATGTTGCCAATTGTCCATTTACTTTCTGGTTCCTAAAAATAACTTCTCTGACTTCATTGTCTCAACTATTCTATCTACCCTTAATGTTTTATACGTTTTCTGTGCATGCTTACTCTCATTTAGAACGGCTGTAAAATCAGTGGAGGGAAACACGTTGTCAGTCTCCCATATTTAACCATAGGAACTCTGGGTTTCAGATTTACTTTATAGATAATTTTAAGAACACACACACACACACACACACACACACACACACACACACACACACAGTCTATTCTGTCAGACAGAAATAATGTTGAAAATAGGTTTGGCTTTCTTTAAATAAAGACCGCACTTTCTGTGTGTTTTTCCAACTTATTTTTTCTCAGGCTTAGCCTAATTGTTTCTTTGAATAAAAGAATAGAGAGAATTTGGCTTCATATCCAGAAATAGTGTTCTGGGTGATTTATATCTGTAGAGTAAGTTGTATCATTTTCTGTTTTTCTTCTTATTTACAGTGGATGGATAAAATCAGACCACACGTCCAATCTGTTCTTCACCTTAGTCATGTATTGTTTGAGGCCATATTGTGATCTGATTAGAAGACATTCATCATGTGAGAAAAAAAACAAAGAGAAAGGTATAGTAGTGTAGAAGGAAGACAATGAAGAACAGGTAAGATAGCACTAAGTGTACGTTCAAACACTGGCTCTTTTCTAACTGCAATTCTATTGAAGCTTCATTTAACTGCCAGTTTGTCTTGTTCTCTGTGAAATTACGTAATTGGTAAAGGTAATGTAAATAACCTTCTGTCCCTAAATGTCCTGTAATTTTTTTGTCGCTGAAACAAGCTACTCTATTTTATGATTTTATGTCAAAATATGTTACATCCTTGGAATGAGAGGATGTTATTTAGGAAAGGAAAAAGCATAAAGCATTTGCAAGTTTTCGTTATGAGATTTTAGCTCAAAAGTTTATTCAAATGTCAAGTTTAATGGCACCAATGTTGAATATTACCTATTGAAAATGAAATTCTATTTATTTTAAAATTTATTTCATAATACCAAGTATACTTTTGATACCTGCTTATATAATAATCCAGTACTTATATTAATCACCTAAATCTGCAACTATTCTTCAAACTTTAGAAAATAAGTGCTTAGACTCTTCTCACAGGTTATGATTTAGTAGTACCAAGTTATCTATTAAATAATTGGCCAATTCTGATGAAGTCTCCATGTATCATCCTTTGAAAATTATGGCTAAACATCCTATTTGTAATTTCTTTTCACAATAACATTATTGGATAACTAACAATGTTATCATACGTATGCATATAAAGAGAGATACAATTCTTCACATAATCTAAGGAAAAACCTTGCACTTGCATTTGCTAATAGGAGATAAGACCAGGCCCAGTGGCTCACACCTGTAATCCCAGCACTTTGGGAGGCTGAGGCAGGCGGATCACGAGGTCAGGAGTTCGAGACCATCCTGGGCAACATGGTAAAAACCCATCTCTATTAAAAATACAAAAATTAGCTGGGCGTGGTGGCGTGCACTTGTAGTCCCAGCTGCTTGGGAGGCTGAGGTGGGAGAATTGCTTGAACTCAGGAGGTGAAGTTTGCAGTAAGGTGAGATCACACCACTGCACTACAGTCTGGTGACAGAGCTAGACTTCGTTTCAAAAAATAAATAAATAAAAATAATAGGAGATAAGTCTTGAACTATGCATATCAAACTTTACATTTTTTCAGCACAGATTACAATGATGCCAAGAGAAAACACAGGCTATAATATAAATATACATACAAATATGTATATTTATAATGAGCTAATCAATCTCATCAGCTGTCATCAACTTGGAGAAAGGGAATCTCCAATACACATGGCTCCCTCCAGATTCTCCATCATTTTTAAGTTAGAGTAGCTGTAGTGAATTCCTGTAATCCTATGTTGCCTAGGCCTTTATTTTAAATCTAAATTGGACTTTCTCACACTAAAAACAGGAATCACCCTTGATGTAGTTTACAGCTCTCTAACTCCTCTCAGTTCCTCACTGTGACGGATCCAGATATCTGCCTTTCGCAACCGCCTTTTGATGACCACCTCCCTCTGGGATAGCTAGAAACAACCCACATGACTTACCCCACAGACCCTTGTACCCTACATGGGCTGCACAGATATGCCACAGTGACCTGTCAGTCACAGTATGATCTCCTGGAGCTTGTATCTGCTCTCTTTAAACTCACTGTTTAGAACTCTCCTCAGGAAACCTGTTTGGGTAATGCTTTGTGACCCAATAATAAACATCTCCTGGCCTCTTCCTCTCTCTCTTCCTCTCTTGATTCCCACCAGCTGGTTGGGCATGCATGTCTCAGATAGCTCCGCCTTTCCCACCGGCTCTGTGAGGCATGCTGCCCTCTTCTCTCTGGGATCTAAAGAAATCAAGACTGCTTATGTTATTTCATGTCATTCATTTATATTTTGTTCTCCTACCTTCTCTATGTCTCACCTGATCAACACACCTGAACCGAACTCTCTTCCTGGCCAGGGCACTCTTAGAGAGTAGGTAACTTGGATTGCGGCCACTATCAAGAGAAAGACCCCAAGACCACATTGAAGGAAAATACAGTACCAGCACAAGCTGTTTCTTGGACATAAAACAGACTGCTGGATTCTGCTGCTTGGTGATCAATGTATGGTCATATTTTTCCTGCCTTGTCTGGGCCCAGTGGTATTTGGTCTCACCTTGACCTCACTTTTGCTGAGCCCCTAGGCTATGCCGTTCTGCTACCTCGACTCTAATCAGGGAGCCAAATATGAGGTAAAGTTGCCTCTCAAATTATGTAATATACTGTATCCCTCCAGGTCAGAATATATTTTATTAAATATTCTGTAATTCTAAGGCATAGATCATATTCTGTATGAATGTATTACATACCTGAATATGACATCAGAATACATCATATTCTACCAACATGATGATAAATATTAATTTTAATTATAACAAATAACTTCTATTATTTAGCTCTACTCTTGAAATATAGAGTCAATGCATCTGGTTGGGAGTTCTGCTGATTACTAAGTTTGGTTGATAGTTTATAGATTTTTTAAATAAGTGTTAGAAATGGTTTAGCTGAAATTGCCATATCTACAGTACACTGCATAGCATTATGTTACACTGATAAGGTATTCTTAAGGAAAAGTTAAGATCTCATTTGGAGAGGATATCTTTCTGCTCTTGCTTCAGAAAAGTAAAAAAGACCAGATTTTCTTTTTACTTTCTATTTGAGCTAAAAAGTATCAGTCAAACCATAAAACAGTATTTTAATAAAAATGATTAATTTATATTGCCTTAAATTTTATCTCATATTTATGTGTGTGTTTTAAGTCACGACAATATCTCACAGAAGAAAGCCTCAACTGTCACTTAAATGGAGTTTCTTTTAGAAAGTAAATATTTTTATGCAGTATTATCATCCTGCTATATTTTAAATTCTATGTTCTCTGAAGCACTAATAGGCTTCATATAAAGACTATTGATCTAATTGTTCAAAAATTGTATTTCCTTCAAATAATTTCTTACTTATCAGAAGACTAGAGAGTGGAGAACCAGGGACATCAAAGCCTCTGGTGTAGAGGATCAATACACTAATAGCGAATTATCTGAAAAAGAAATCAATAAAAAAAATCCCATTTGCAAAAGCTACCCAAAAAAACATACTTGAAAATAAATTTAACCAAGGAGGTGAAAGATCTTTACACTGAAAACTATAAGACACTGATGAAACAAATTGAAGAATTTCTTGATGGATTGGAAAAAATATTGTTGATGTGTCCATATCATCCAAAACAATTTACAAATTCAATGTAATTCCTATCAAAATACCAATGATATTCTTTACAGAAATAGAATAAAAATCCTAAAATCTGTATAAAATCACAAAAGACTCCTACTAACCAAAACAATCTTGAGCAAAAAGAACAAAGCTAGAAACATCACACTACCACTCTTCAAAATATATTACAAAGTATATATTTGATTCCATATGATAATCAAAACAGCACAGGACTGGCTTACAAGCATTCATATAAACCAATGTAATAAAACACAAAACCCAGAAATAAGGTCACGAATCTGTGGTCAATTGATGTTTGATGAAGGTGCCAGGACACATGATGCAGAAGGATAGTCTCTTCAAAGACTTGTCTTGGGTCAACTGGCTATCCATATGCAGAAGAATGAAATTAGATCATTATCTCACACCATATACAAAAATCAACTCAAATGAATTAAATATTTAAATGTGAAACCCTAAACTATGAAACTAGTAGAAGAAAACACAAAGGAAAACCCCATGTTATTCTTCTGGGCAATTTTTTTAGATATGACCCCGAAAGCAGGTAACAAAAACAAAAACAGACAAATGCAATTGCATCATAGTAAAAAATTCTGCACAGCAAAGGAAACAACTAACAGAGGGAAGATGCAATTTGTAGAATAATAGAAAATCTTTGCAAAATATATATCTAATAAGGAGTTAAGATCTATAATCTATGAAGAAAACCCAATAGCAAAAAAAGGAACACAACAAAATCACATGATGATTCATCAGTGATTGTCACAGAAATGCAAATCAAAACCGTAATGAGATCTAACACCTGTTAGAATGGCTATTATCAAAAAGCCAAAAAATAACAGATGCTGGCAAGGCTGTGGAGAAAAAGGAACACTTGTACACTATTGGTGGGGCATAAATTAGTTCAGCCATTGTGGAAGACAGTATGGTAATTCCTCAAACATCTAAAGACAGAAATACCATTTGACCCAGCAATCCCATTCCCAGGTGTATATCCAAAGGAATGTAAATCATTTTATTATAAAGACACATGCACACATACGTTCATCGCAGCACTATTCGCAATAGAAAAGACATGAAATCAACCTAAATGCCCATCAATGATAGACTAGATAAAGAAACATGGCACATATACACCAAGGAATATTATGCAGACATTTAAAAAGGCATAAGATCATGTCCTTTGCATGGACTTGGATGAAGGTGGAGGCCATTATACTTAGCAAACTAACACAGGAACAGAAAACCTGTACTGCATGCCATCACTTACAAGTTGGAGCTAATGATGAGAACACATGAACACATAGAGGAGAACAATGCACACTGGTGCCTTTCAGACGGTGGAGGGTGAGAAGAGGGAACAGATCAGGAAAAATAACAAATGCTGGGTCATGCAATAATCTATACAACAAGCCCCCATGACACTAGTTTACCTATGTAACAAGCCTGCACATGTACTCTTGGAGTTAAAAGAAAGAAAAAAACATGGGCAAATTATCTGACTAGACATTCCTTAAAGAAGACATACAGATAGCCAACAGATTTATGAAAAACTGTTCAACATCTCTTATTTTCAGGAAAACGCAAATGAGAAACCACTTCACACCTGATGTAATTGTCATTATAAAAAAGACAAATGATAACAAGTGTGGGCAGGGACATGGACAAAAGGGAACCCTGGTACACTGTTGGTGGGAATGTAAATTAGCACAACTCTGGTAAACAGTATGGAAATTTCTAAAAAAATATAGAACTAGCATATATGTCAGCAATCCACTATGGGTATATTTTCCCCCACCCCAAAAAATGAACTCAGTTGATCAAAGAGATATCTACACTCCCATGTTCATTGTAGCAGCTCACAATAGCCAAGATATGGAGTCAACCTACGCGTCCAACCATAGATGAATGGATTAAAATATGTGGTATATATCCACAATGGAATAATATCCTGCCTTAAAAAAAGGAAGAAAATCCTGCCATTTGTGACAACATGGATGAACCTGGAGGACATTATGTTAAGTGCAATAAGCCAGGCACAAAAAGACAAATACTGCCTGATGTTACTCACATGCAGAAACCGAGAACTTTGATCTCATTGAACCGGAGAGTAGAATGGAGTTTAGCAAGTTCTGGGGTCATTGAGGAGTGAGCGTTGTTGGGGAAATGTTGGTCAAAGAATACAAAATTTCAGTTAAATAGGAGAAATAAGTTCAAGAGACCAACTGTACAACATGGTAACTATAGTTAATCATAATATATTGTATTCTTGAAAATGCTAAGAGAGTGGATGTTAAGTGTTCTCACCACAAAAATGATAACTATTGCGGTAATTCACATGTTAGTTAATTCCACAATGCACATATATTTCAAGTATATATACATATACTAACATATATCATTAGTAATTCCACAATGTATATATATTTCAAAATGTACACAATAAAAGAAATGCAATTTGATATATCAATTTAAATAATTAAAAAAACATGAGACTAACAGCACAGTAAAAAAGCAAGCTAAAGTCTTGAAGAAACTTCATGAAGAAGAAAATAAATGGCCAAAAAAACAGCAATTAGAAAAACTATATCTTTTCGTTGATAAGAATTTTATTCATTATTGGAAATTGGTAGCAGTATCTAGTAAAAATACTTGTTCTATTACCCAGTATCCACTCCATCAAAAAATACATATAAATGCATTTGTTAAATAACAGATGCAAAGAGCTCAAAGAAGCACTATTTACACTACCAAAAAACTGGAAATTAACCAAATGCCCATCACTGTGGCATGGATAAAATAATTGGTACATTCACACAATTGAATACTAATCATTGCCTGAAAATGAACAAATGACAGCTAAAACATAGATGAATTTTACAGACATAATTTGAGCAAAGGAAGCCAAACACATAAAAAAAGAGACTATGTGTGTGTGTGTGTGTGTGTGTGTATATATATATATATATATATATGCATCTATGTATATAAAGTTTAAAAAGAGACAGCACTAATCAGCACTTCAGAAATCAGGATGGTGGTTACAGGCATGGTGATATTTATAGTTACTGGAAGAGTTATTAAGGGCAACTTCTGAGGTGCTGGTAATATTTTGATTTTTGACCTTACGTGATTGTGTTCAGTTTGTTATAATTTCAAATTTGTGTGAGATATACATACAAATTAAAAGTTTCAAAAATACTTCACTAATACAAAAGAAAGTGAAAGATACAGAAATATAGTAAATGTGGGAAAAGTAGAAAGCAAATGGCAACACGACAGATACAAACACACATAATGCAGTATTTACGTTAAATGTAAATGGAATAAATATTCCAATTAAAAGGCAAATATTACCACATTGGATAAAACAAAACTTACATGCTACACCTAATAATAGAGAAGTCGGCCGGGCACGGTGGCTCAAGCCTGTAATCCCAGCACTTTGGGAGGCCGAGGCGGGTGGATCACGAGGTCAAGAGATCGAGACCATCCTGGTCAACATGGTGAAACCCCGTCTCTACTAAAAATACAAAACATTAGCTGGGCATGGTGGCACGTGCCTGTAATCCCAGCTACTCAGGAGGCTGAGGCAGGAGAATTGCCTGAACTCAGGAGGCGGAGGTTGCGGTAAGCCGAGATCGCGCCATTGCACTCCAGCCTGGGTAATGAGCGAAATGCCGTCTCAAACAAAAAAATAAAAAAAAAAAAATAATAATAGAGAAGTCAAAATTTTAAAAATAGAATATATATTTTATGCAAGCCATAGAGTGCTAATGTTAGCTATTAATTTCAGAAAAAACTGATGCTAGGCAAGAAGCATTACTAATGACAAAAAACATGTTCATAAAGATACAAGTATAAATATTCAATAAAGTTGTAACTGTCCTCCAGAATCTCAATTTGTATTTACCTAATAACATAGTCACAATATATTAGGTTGATGCAAAAGTAATTGTGGTTTTGTCTTTTTTTTTTTTTTTTTTTTTTTTGAGATAGAATCTTGCTCTCTCACCCAGGATGCTGGAGTGCAGTGGTAAGATCTCAGCTCACTCCTCCCCAGTTCAAGTGATTCTCCTGCCTCAACCTCCTGAGCAGCTGGGATTACAGGCATGCACCACCACCCAGCTAACTTTTGTATTTTTAGTAAAGACAGGGTTTCACCATTTTGGTCAGGCTAGTCTTGAACTCCTGACCTTGTGATCAGCCTGCCTTGGCATCCCAAAATGCTGGGATTACAGGCATGAGCCACTGTGCCCTGCTGCCATTACTTTTAATGGCAAAAAAAGTGACCAAAATAAAAGAAGAAATAAGAAAGTATCAATCATTGTTGGAAGTTCTAGTGTGCTTCTTTCAATAAGATACTGACACAGGTTCCCATTCAGGAAGAGGTGGATGATCTGAACAACAAGCTAAACGTATTGGTTAGCATACATAGATAACCTGATTCTTAGTAATGGTGGAATGCACATTCTTCTAAGTCCATTTCCAACATTTACTCAAGTTAACCATTTGCAGAGTCATGCAAAAAGTAAAATGAATTGAGAGTTGAATCATGTACAGTATGTTCAGTGCCCTCAGTGTAATAAAGCTCCTCTTCCCCCACCTAGATTTTGTTTCACACTCATTCTAGTGCATGATGCTCTGGAAATGCCAAACTGTTTGTTCTTTGAATATGTTATGGTCACACTTCTGTCCTTGAGCCCCTCTCCTCTTTTTTTTTTTTTTTTTTTTTTTTTTGAGACAGAGGTTTGCTCTTGTTGCTCAAGCTGGAGTGCGGTGGTACAATTTCAGCTCACCACAATGTCTGCCTCCTGGGTTCAAGCAATTGTCCTGCCTCAGCCTCCCTAGTAGCTGGGATTACAGGCATGTGCCACCAGGCCCAGCTAATTTTGTGTTTTTAGCAGAGACGGGGTTTCACCATGTTGGTCAGGCTCGTCTTGAACTCCCGACCCCAGGTGATCTGCCTGCTTTGGCGTCCCAAAGTGCTGGGATTACAGGTGTGAGCTGCCATGCCCAGCTCTCTCCTTTTTTTTTTTTTTTTTTTTTTTTAACGTCTGTTGAACAATTCTGTTCTTAGACTCAGGGACTGTTATCTCCTTGTCTTTTAGGTCTCTGGTCAAGTGGCACTTGATGAAAGAAGACTTCCCTGAACATATTATTTTAATTTATAAACCCCTCCACTTACTGTCTTCCATATCACCCATTTTATAGTTATACAATACTATTTTTTTTTAATTATCTCATGTTGTCCTATTTATTTGTTTCTTTTCTTTCTTTTCTTTTTGAGACAGAGTCTCACTCTGTCTCCCAGGCTAGAGTTCAGTGGTACGATCTGGGCTCACTGCAACCTCTGCCTCCTGGGTTCAAGTGATTCTCCTGCCTCAGCCTCCAGAGTGGCTGAGACTATAGGTGCATGCCACCATGCTCGGCTAATTTACTTGATTTTTCTAAGAAAAAATTGGTATGAGTGCCAGGCTTATTTTACTTGTTTACTGCCTAGTGCCTTAGCATGTAGGAGTTCAGTAAGTACCACCTGAATGAACAAACCAGCAGTTGCTGCTGATCCAGTTTTCATTGTCAGATCCCATAGATACTCCCAAGATAGGTATTTCAACTCAGTAGTTTTGTGAAGATAAAAATACATTTGTGTGCATGGCCATTTCTTATTATTAGAGCATTGAAACTACAGATTATTGGAATTATGATCTATATGATGGCCTTAATTCTCTATTTCATTTTGCTAATGCAATCACAGCTTTATGTTTCAGGATACGGGACACATTTCTGAACCTCAGATTCCTTAGCCTGCATATTTCACATATTTTCCCTGATGCTGCCAATTACGAGCAAGCATGATTCTTTTCTACACATTTTAGTGCATTTTTCTTATTTTTATTTTTCTAAGATTTCTATTTCACACAAAAGCCATTTTATTTCTAAAATATACACTTTTCTTTTCAGAATGAAATAATTACAGGTATTGATCAACTTAAGACCTATGCAACTTACGACCATGCGACTTTACAACCACAATCGCTAGCCACGACTGCTCCGCGCCTGGCAGCGCAAACGTTGCCCAGCTGGGCATACGACAGTGCGGACCAGCTTCCGGCAGCACTACCATCTCCGCATGCACCATTTCAACTGTTATCCCAGACTCGGTACAGCAATTTGTGTTTTGTGTCTTGGATATTTTTCATCAAACCCCTCCCAATAAACTTCTTATACATTTCGAAGCAATGGACCCAAACATCGAACGATTTGCAAGGATTGAACGGATGGCGCACTATGAGTTTCGTCGGTACCATGAAATTTATGAAGAAAAAGAGAAACATACAATTCAGACAAAGCTCACCATGTTTATGAAAAAACCAACTCCGGTAACCCCAAATGCTGCCTCAGATGACAACATCAACGATCTGCAGCCAAGCACCAGTGGCCAATAAAATGTTTCGTACATGTTTATATATTTTGATATGTTTTGCAATTGGGAAAATGTTTCCTATGGTATTTTTTACACCTGTATTTTGTATTTTTGTATGCACCTGTATTTTGTAATTTTGTATGTTTTGCAAATATTAAACCAGTTGTACTGGTAATGCAGTGTTTTACTTAAACCTGACGAATGTAAAAATAGGAAACAAAATGGTGTAGAGATGATACAAATGGCATAAAATGAACAAAGAAAATTATGATAT